GGGGGGAGTAATTCGAGTGCAGGAAGGAAGTGGCATTGAAAGTAATCTAGGACATAGCACTGCAATCACCCTCCTCCCCCCCTCAGTACAAAAGCAGCCATTTACAGGCCTTGTTGACTTCCTGTTTGCCCCGTGACTCCAGCGTTTACAGATGTGACCATCGCTGCAGTAACTGAATCGTGGTTTAACACACGGTGGTTACTCCGGGGGGAAATAAAAAGAATGTGGTCTCTGTGAATGTGCGCCGGAGCTGCGGCTTCAGTCGGAGATGGTTAGAGATGGTCTCTCTCTCTCTCAACGACAGCCTGAGCCTCGACAGAGTTGGTCACATGTTACGGCAGAAAACAAGAGAAAAACAAGAACCTCAGAATGTTCAGTCGTCCTCTTCTTTGTCTCCACCAGATGAAGCTCGCAGCCAGAAGTGTGGCGTCCTGGTCCACTGCCTGGCCGGCATCAGTCGCTCGGTGACGGTGACCGTGGCCTACCTGATGCAGAAGCTCAACCTGTCCATGAACGACGCCTACGACATCGTCAAGATGAAGAAGTCCAACATTTCTCCCAACTTCAACTTCATGGGCCAGCTCCTGGACTTTGAGCGCACGCTGGGCCTGAAGAGCCCGTGCGACAACCGCATGGCCACGCAGGGTCAGCAGCTGTACTTCACCACGCCCACCAACCACAACGTCTTCCAGCTGGACCCCCTGGAGTCCACGTGAGGCCGCGGCCGCCTCCTCTCTCCTTGATCGGAGGTGCCGTGGGCCTCCTGTTGGTAAAGGCTGCAAAAGTTTCCTCATTTTTCCCGGTGGTCTGCCGTGAGACCGGGCTCTGGACGTTCTTGGTGCAGCTGGCGGGAGGTGACAGCTGTGGAGCGTGGTCACTGGAGGACGAGGACGAGGACGAGGTGCAGCTGCTGTTGACAAACTGAGACAGACAGGAGCGCCGTCCTTTCTACTATTCTCTCTCTCGCTGAAGGACTGTTCAGATCTTCTACGTCAGACGGGTTCTAGGCTGCGGTGCCAAAGATACTGGATGGTTCAGTCTGGACTTTTTCTCATGTGGGTTTTGGGTCTGGTGTTGGTTTTTCCCAAGACTTTCCCTAAGGTGCGTCGTCTCCTTTGTCTTCTGTGAAGACGTGTCCGTGAACGGATACTGGACTCTGTTTTCACTCCTGGAGTGGAGTCTTTTCCAACATTTGTACGTTGTGTATATTCTTGACGAGGAATCCGTGGTTGAAGCCTGGCTCTGTGGTGAAGTGGGTCCTGAAGATTCTCTTTGTTTCATATTCTACTTTTTATCGAAGCTGAAAAGAAAAACTGCTTATTGATCAGTATGTTTCAAGTTTATTATGCCAAAAAAAATTAAGTAGAATTTCTACAACTTGTTGGGGGAAACCATGTACATGTGTAATATATACATTTATATTTGATAATTGCTTTACGTGTGATTTCAGCCAAACGGCCTGGTTTTTGCACGTCACCCTGTCACCAATCAAACCATCCAGACCTTTGGTTTCTTTATATTCATCAGAGAAAATCTTCACACTTCACTTTTTTTTAATTGTCAAAGAAAAATCAGTCTAATTTTGCACAACATCAGAGATGAGCTGTGTTGTCAGCGAGGCCAACGGTGACATGTGACCCCCGCCCCCCCACCTCTTCAGGGAAAACGTCTGTGAAATGCAGTTTTAATTTGTCACGATGAAAGTAAAAGTTGTTCAGAGTTTTGGAGGGTTGTGTTGTCCCCGCCCCACACTTTGCTTCTACGAATGTAAAGAAAAGATAAGTTATTAATAAATTGCTATTTTGTCTACACTTTTCCTCCGTTTCCTCTGATCTCATTTCTTCTCAGCTTCATGTAAACGTCTCCTCGGCCTCGTGGTAGTTAGAGAACAGCCGGGGTGACACCCGTCATTAACTCCATCCTTCACTTCACTCTCCAGAGCAGAATTAGAATTCCCCGTCACGAGGAAGAACTCACAACAAACTCACAGACATGAGACTGAGGAGGAGGAGGAGGAGGAGGAGGAGGAGGGAGAGGAGGAGGAGGAGGAGGAGGAGGAGGAGGAGGCGGAGGGGAGGCGCGAGCTGTCAACAACCAGACTGGTTTGTCAAGTTGCAGCCCTGATGCTGCTGCTGTTACTGCTGCTGCTGCTGTTACTGCTGCTGCTGCTGTTACTGCTGCTGTTACTGCTGTTACTGCTGCTGCTGTTGCTGCTGCTGCTGTTACAGGGTTCATTCATCAAACACTTCCTGAGGGCCTGTGTTCAGCCGTCACAGAGAACACAGGTGTGGGTGGTCATGTGATCACCAGGGGGCAGGGCCAGGTGGAGGAAGAAGTGAAGCACCTGACAGACTGAGAGAAGAAGAAGAAGAAGAAGAAGAAGAAGAAGAGGTAGAGGAAGAGGAAGAGGAAGAGGAGGAGGAGGTAGAAGTCAGAGCAGTGACAGAACAGACCAAACTGAACCACAGGGGTTTTTGGCACCAACTGCTGCCAACTTTAAAGAAAAGAGTTTACAGACACATGAACTATGAACAGAACAGACAGAGAGTTCACAGACATTACCGTCTCCTCTCTGCTAGCCTGCTAACGTAGCACAGAGCTAAAGTGGCAACATGACGGTAGGTACCGTTAGAAACTGTGCTTTCAGAAACCTTTACACCTGTACGTTCACACAGGCGTTGTTACAGATGTGTTTGACTCCAAGAAAAGGTTCATTCTGAGTTTTATCACTTACATTCTTCACCACTCTCCCTGGTGGCTATGCTAAGCTAAGCTAGGCTAATCCTACTAAATCTTTACATTCCCTGAACGTGTGGCATCATGGGGCAGTGATTCCAAGTAAATCCTTCCACCTACTGTGAACCCAGAGTGAAGTAACTTTCATCCATGTGTAAATATTAATATATCTCTCTCTTCTTCTTCTTCTTCTTCTTATAAATATTAATATCTCTCTCTCTCTCTCTCTCTCTCCATGATTCTCCTGAATCACAGTGATGATTGTCAGAGTCTTCGAGGAGATGAACCTGCTGTGTCACGATGATTCACTGACAGACATCCTTCTTTCCTGTGGAGGCTGACGTTGTTCTCTCTGCTCATGTTTCCATTCAGGTGACAACGTTCCACTTCCTGGGTAATGATTTCAGAAACGCTGCCAATTCTACCAAAGAGTAACTCACGGCGGTGAATGTACCACCGCTTTAAAAACAATGGGAGAGAGGAGGAGTTTTTATCGACTTTCCGTTGTCGCTCGCTGAGCCACACGCTCCGCGGTCTGTTCACGCTCCGACTGGAACAGAAAGTCACCAGATTATTACAGATTATCGAGGAGTCCTCACCCACGGTCCGACTCCTGGTTCTCTTCTTCAGTTCACCTCAGGGCTGTTGGTTTTTATCTGGTTGAATCCGTTTCAGACCCTCAGGTATCACAGCTACCTGCAGACATTGTTTATTTGTTAAAATGTCGACTTCTTATTTTTGCCTGGCTAACGTCTGTCAACTTTATACTTAATTACGCTCAATTACTAGTGCCGGATGGTTTGCAAGTGGATTGTGTTCCTGCCTTACAGCAATAGGGTCAAGGGTTTGATTCCTCAGTGGTAAATGATGGTTGTATGGAGTTGGACATACTTTGGTTCTCCCTGAGGCTCTGAAACATGTGAGATTAGGATGAACAGTTCACTCTGAGGTGACAGCAGTCGTGACTAGTCTAAGGTGGTTAACGTTAACTCCTTCCTGCCTCAAATTGTAATTGTCTAACGTTTCTGATGTTCAGTGTTGTAGTTCAGCTCAGTTTATGTGAACAGACAGATGGAGCAGTAAAAATGGATCAGCGCTCCGTCAGGGGAGTGGAGCCGCGGAGAACCATGACATTTAATGTCCTGCTCAAGGACACTAGGACAGATATGGACTCTCGGGGGATCAAACCTGCGACCCTTGTGTGTGAAGGCACATGTCTCTTCAACCACCAGGATATCATCCATCACCAAGTCTGGCACTGAGCCGCTGTGATGTCATGGACAGGACTTTGGAGTAACCGGGGGTATGTGCGGCGTGTCGGTCACCCCGGGGGGGGGGGGGGGGGGGCCGGGAGGGGGGGTCTCAGGGCCACTCTTCCTGTCTGCAGCTTGGCCTTTCGTGGCTTTAAAGCCGGGGATTAAAGGCCACCGGAAACTAGCGGTGCTAATTTCAGACAGGCATGCGGCGGCGGAGCGCGGCAGCAGCTTCATCATCGCTGCAGCGCGGCCGCTGTGACAGGACAGACCATACAGGGACCGGCAGACACGTACGGCCGGGGTGTCGGCCAGGTCGGCACGCAGACGTGTGCTCAGATGACCGACGGGCCGGGAGTTGAATGAACAGTAGTGAGGGCAGCGAGCAGGTGTCGCCACCAGGAATAGCACGACACCACAAACGTACGGCGGCCGCGCAGCGTCTGCTGTTACGTTTTCATGTCACAGTTCTGTAGCTGCACCCCCTTCTGGAAGATTTATGGAATGTCACAGAGTTGTTTTAAAACGGAAGTAGACCGGTTGTTGTTGTTGTTGTTGTTGTTGCTGTTGTTGCTGTTTCTGTTGTTGCTGCTGCTGCTGTTACTACTGATGCTGTTACTGCTGCTGCTGCTGTTACTGTCACTGCTGTTACTGCTGCTGCTGCTGTTACTGTTACTGCTGTTGCTGCTGCTGTTACTGCTGTTGCTGCTGCTGTTACTGCTGTTGCTGCTGCTGCTGTTGCTGCTGTTACTGCTGTTGCTGCTGTTGTTGCTGCTGTTGTGACTGCTGCTGTTGCTGCTGTTGTTGCTGCTGTTGTGACTGCTGCTGTTGCTGCTGCTGCTGCTGGTGCTGTTATTGCTGGTGCTGCTGCTGCTGTTGCTGCTGTTACTGTTACTGCTGTTACTGTTACTGCTGTTACTGTTACTGCTGTTACTGTTCCTGCTGTTACTGCTGCTGTTACTGGTGCTGCTGCTCCACCATTTTATGACTACCAAAATAAACTCAGGGTTGAAGGGTGTCAGAGTTGGCTCCAAGAGTTGGCTCCACTGCTGAAGCTCTAACAGTTCCTATCCCTCTTACCCTGAGGCGACAGAGTGTTGACANTGTCACACCACTTCCCTCTCATCCACTCCAGTAATTTCCTGTTGCCCTCAGAGATTGTGTTACAAGTGACAACATAGCAGAACATACACACACACACACACACACACACACACAGAGTGCACGCACCAACACTGTCCTTCGTGCCAACCACGAAACTCACAGACTCATCACCTGATCCATACTGGAGTCTGTTTATATGAAATTCACCCATAAAACACACACATCAACACGTCATTATTTCTTTACTTTACTTTGAGCGTCTGCATTAAATATGACTGAGGTCGTGGAATGGAGAGAGAGAGAGAGAGAGAGAGACAGAGAGAGACAGAGAGAGAGAGAGAGAGAGTTCGATCTTCATACGTTGATGTTTAGATTTTTTCATTTCCAACTCTGGGATGTTGTCGGAGCTCGGACGTTAAAACGCTCTTCGCTGTTAAAGTCGTCACTTGTGTTTCTGGACCTTTGACCCCCACCAACGCCCTGTGGAATGCTGGGAAAGAATCTGTGGTGTGGGCGGCCTGTTAGAATGAAGAGCCTTGTTATGCAACTGTTTTGCTCTTCTCCTGCATTGGTGTGTGTGTGTGTGTGTGTGTGTCTGTGTGTGTGTGTTCTCTCGTCTCCGTTCAGTTCTTTCCGTGAGGGAAGGTCAAAAAATGTTTTTTTCGTGAAGATAAAAAGCCCCTTCTCTCCATGTTCTTCCTCCACTGTGGAATTCTGGGTAAATGAAACGACAGAGCCTCAGTAGATCAAGAGTTTTTGACCTGAGAGACGAGGCTGAAACTGGAACCTTCTGTCTTAGAACAAACGTTTTCTTCTTTTATCAAGGACTGAATTATCTGACACTAAAGTCAACAACTATCTGACTAGATAACTAGTTAGCTGACTAGACTTAATAACTAAGACTAAAACGGTGTAAATATATACCGTTACACACGGATATAAAGATCTAAAGGTAAAGAAAACACACCTTACTGTTTACACAAAGGTAAAAAAAAATGTAATCCACTAAAGACAAATGTTTTTGCTTAAAAAAGAAAATACAAAAAAAAACTAACCAGTTACTAACTAGTCCTCAGGTGTTAGAATAGTCAAGTATTTCTTTTAATAAAAATAACTAAGGCAGCGGCCGACGTCTGGCTCTTGTACCTGGCGGTGAACGCCAACGCAGACGTGATTCAGACTGGGAACTTAGAAAAACATTTTCTCTATTAAAAAAAAACTATGTTTGGCTGCATGGCAGACCTTGAGCCACCGCGTTGTGCCCACGCAGCCTCTACCTGAAGTGACTAGCAGGATCTTTCTATTTCTGCTCCAAAGAGGAGAAAGAGATGAGATACAAAGAGAGACGGGGGAGAGATGGGAGGCCAGATCACGGAGAGGAGGAGGAGGAGGTGGTGGTGGTTGACAAAAGACACTCTCCACAGGCAGCCAATCACGGCCGCTCTCTCCACTGAGCCCACTCAGCCAAACCAGGATTATAAATAGCAGTTATGGTTTAAAAGCCCCTTTAAAAATGACAGAAGTCGGGGAGCGAGGCGGGAGAACATCACACGGCGCCCACACACTCACACCTGCTGTCAGCCCTGTTTCCCTGATGACACTTCTTACCCTGTAGTTTCACCATGTTGTTGCTGTTGCTTGGCTGAAGGTTCACACTGGTCTGAAGGAGGTTTGTCACAAAGTCAGAAGATGTTTTTGAATTATCGATTCATTTGTTTTCCCT